TATCAACTATATAAAATTTAGTTTTATACAAATAAGTACACAGAGAAAAAATAACTACTTAAGCAACATTTCAATCTATACATATTAAATGCTTTCTCGGCTCACAAATATGAGTCAATGAAAAAATAAATGGATAAAATTGTCAAAAAATCGTTCATTGTACTCAAATTATATTTAACTATCAACTAAACGTTAGCAAAATTAAAACAAATACGCAGAGAAACATATTTGAAAATTTTCATTGCAAGAGAAGAAAGCTAAATGGAAATTGATTTTCTCTATTAACAATTTTAATACTTCATAAATAATGTAACGATAATATCACATTCTTCTGATGTCTTTTTTCTACATTGCGTTTCACTACTCCTTTTTATCACAAACGCAAAAAGTACTCGGTCTCGACAGCAATCTGACGAAGATATTCAACAATATTGACAGATTGTAGAAGAATAATAACTAAACCGCAAATCTTTATGCAAAATAAAAATTGTCTACGTTCATTGCATGAAACATATATTACATGAAAATATCTTTCCTCTTTCAATTAACATAACAATATCCTTAAATTCTTCTAAGAGTCTTTGTAGTTTTAAATTTCATCTACTCATTTTTGTTATGAATCCATAAAATCTATAGTCTAATATAAAAGCATATAAGAAAGATTTAGAATAATTTATAATTTCCATAGACAATGTATACATACATGTACACATGTAACAATCCTTTATTGCTAAATAAACTATTTCATTTAAAGCATTAATAAATAAATAACAAAGCAGTTAATTGAATAAAACATAGACGTAAAATGTGTTCATTACAGAAGGACTATTTTATTCACTTCATTTACCTACCATGCACAGTCACCCGTTATTTCTCCCAATTGAATATATACGAAAAAACTGTTTTAATTAACCGAACAGTTTCGAACGAAAACTGAACAATCATCAAACGTTTGCAAATTGGAACTTTGATTATGATGATTGGTTCTTAGATTCGAGTTTAAAATAGATTTACACCGGAGAGCAACACAGGATGAAGATCGACTCGAATCGCCGCGAGAAAGTCCCACACCATGCGGTGGTTAGCGCGCAACTGGCAAGGATCTCGTAGCATTCCGGCTTCGTAACTTCCTCCATCCTCTCCTTGCCAGCCGAGCTTCCTGTCCTCCCCATCTCTCGCTCCTCGAACCTCGCATATCACCTTCCGTAACCTTACATCCTTCCACCTGCATACCGTCTTCCGGATCCTGCGAAATCATACGATCGACAGGACGCCACAGGTTTGACGAATCCTGATGTCAGCCTCACCATTTTTCCCCCGACTGATCGTTTTACTTTCAATTTATTCACTGAACACGTTGTAAATGACACACCTCGTTATTTGTACGTGCACAATCTTTATAAAAATTGTTTGATGGATGTGGGAATTTTTAGACGTAGTTCATTATTTATGTTAGTAACGAAATGTTCAATTTATTATTCTAAAGAATGCAAAAGGTATTCCAATGCTTTGTTGAATTTAGCAATGTATAAAACGATAACGATCTTACATCACCTATTTGTTATATGTACTTATTTAATTATTTATGCTTTTAATCGGGTGATTTATCTATTGGATACAGGATCATTTTATAAGACGTCTGATATTAGTGAGCTGGAGAATATAAAGGAAAAGTTTTAATTAAAATCGAATCGCGTACATTTTCTAAAAAACTAAACATAACAATTTTAGTAGTAACAGTTTTACGAATATATTTTATTCATTAGAACATGTTTTACTTGGATGGCATAAGGTACATAAAATACTGTTTAAGTCGCAAGCACATTTGCTATTTTGACGCATTGTTGTTATATATAAATATCAAACAGAATATTTGCTTTTATGATTTTGTTGAAAAATATTTGTAAAAACCTAGACCATCAAAATGTTCAACACTATTATTAACCATTAACTAACGAGACTTGAGTTCGATTTAAATTATAATTTCCTGGCAGTCAATTAAAATTATTAACTATTTATATTTTTAGTAATAAAATTATATAACTATTTATGTGATATAGCGATTATATACGGCATCAATGAATCATCGTTGTAGATGAACACTGATTACAAAATTGCTGCAAAATTGCTCAACTCATTTTCACAGTCAAGAGATCATGTTACTTTTCGACTGTAAAAATACGAGAACTTTTTAATAATTCAGTCACTTTAGAATCGACATGATCGACAGTAAAAGATAATAAAAGTATTCCTTAGATAACGAAAATATAACAAATATTTAACCTCAATCGTAATAATTTGGTTACTTTGTTTACTTAATTCTTTGATTATTGACACAATCAGCAATTAATGACTACAAGCAAATTTATTTATCGAATGTAATGATCAAAAGCTACCGAAAACAGATGAAATAATGAAATTTGTAAAAATTTTGTCTTAAAATTCCAATTAATCTTAGCTATAATGTTATAATATAATAAAGAACGTTATAATATAACGTTTATATGAAAATACCATAAATGAATAAAAGCTAATGCAACCAAGTTGTTTAAACACAGTCAAAGCTTAATGTTGCAGTCATAGAATCTGTTTCTGTAGAATACAGAAGATTCGTCATTTGTTACAGAGTGATTCACTTCGAATTACAATTCTTGGATCTCTTACAAGAATGATGAATCGTTGCTCTCATCGTTTCTTATTAACCGCGAATTTATCATGAAGAAACAGTAATGCTGAAGGCCAGTAGTTTTTATTTTACGCTTCACTTAAGGAACTCCTTGACACGAGAAACAAGTTCTTATCGAATTCTTCTATGTTACACGAAGTGCGTGTTCTTCTAAATTTTAGAACATAGTTCGAGGACGAAGTGTCCAATAATGAAAACATAAATTCAGACCGTAAACAAATTACTTCGGTAAACGAAAACAGTTCTTAAACGAGAATCTTTTCCCATCAGCGATAAAACTCAATTGTTTGCAAAACGGCGTCTCGAAGATTTTCTTCGCGCGTCTGATATCGTCGTAAAATGGTTCCCAAGATACCGCGTGCCGAAGTAATTAAAGTGACCCTGAAATTCAGTAATAGTGTCATTCTTTACACAGACGGAATGAAATTTCACTCGAATGCGAAACAATTAAATTGTTGATGTTAACAAACGTTCATACTTAAAACTCATTTGAAATATTCCTCTTATTTATAATTTTATGTTTTGTTGCCTTAACGGTTTCTCATTAATTCTTATTAAAGATAAAGTCCGCATTTTTGTGCTTTTTGTATTCATTCATTTAGCGACTAATAGAATTATAGTAAATAAAAAATGTCTTACTAGTTATAATAAACTTTATGCTTTTCGTTCCGATATTTTATATATTTATATAATATTCTGTTGACTCTAAATCGACCAAAAAATTCGATGATTTGAAC